ATATTAAATTTAAATAAAATATATTTTAAACTTAAATAGAACCTAGAGTCTGTCGAAGCCTGAGATCAGAATGCCACTAATCGATAAAGCCAAAATACTTATATTAAAAAAAAATTACTAAAGTATTTAATACTTTTTCTGGCATCCCTAGTAAGGCTGAATAGGCAATGCACTTGCTTCGCAGTTCTATGAGGCTAATGATGCCAGTCGTTTGTTACATCGAATTGTATTGTTTTAAAATGATTTTCATTTATATTTCTAATTATTGTAATTTACAAGTGTTTTTGTAATATTTTTTGACGACACGTCTGGCTCAGTTTGTAGTGACCCTACTTGCTGTGCCAGCGATCGCGGATTCGAGTCCCGTTGGGGGCATTCATTTATGTGATGAGATCAAATGTTTGTACTCTAGTCATGGGTGTTTATATGTATTTATAATATGTATGTATTTAACGCTATATACATATGTGTAGTGTATCAACTATCTGGTACCTATAACACAAGCCTCGTAGCTTACCATGGAACTAGATCGTGCTGTGTGTTAATGTCACAACATATTATATTAAATTAAATTCCATAAAAAATATTAATAAGTTACTCTAATCGGTAATGCCTTATTATAGCCCTTTAAGGCCAGATAATACATAATATATGGTCCCTCTGTACATGAGAGTCGGTTCAATGAAAAGCTCAAACTATAACTGGATCTGAATTTTTAATTGAAATCGACATCTTTTAGAGAGGATAAAAAGAATGTGATGAGTTTTTTAACGTGCTTTTATTAGATAAAGCTAGATATTATTTCAGATTTCGTAGTATCAATTTAATTTTTTATTTCAAGCCACGGGAGACAATAAGCTTTATAACGTCTCAAACATGACAGTTATGACAGACGATGTCTACCCATAAGATATATCCTATTATTTGAAAGAATAAGGAAAGCGACCGAAGTACTATGTAGTTTTAATAATTTAAAAATATTTGGCTATATTTACCTAATCTATACATACAATAAAATTCTGAGTCGAATCTGTACATTAAATATTTTTTGAAATTTTTTATTGAAATTGTCATTATTATCGATACAGAATCCGAATCTATAGATTTTAGAATTTTTATCTGTGTGTCTGAGAACGGATCACGAAAAAAACCACTGGACAGATTTTGATTAAATTTGTTATGATGACAGCTGGTTAGTTATCCAGGTAACATAATATGATACTTTTTACTGCGGGAAAATATCTCATCTCTGACAAATCTATACTAAACGTTAAAACGTTCCTAGTCGCGAGTTTTTATTAATAAAACAATATTTTCAAAGGAAAATAGCTGCTTCTATATTTCTAAAATCTAGATTACTTTTGATTTACTTTGTCTCGCCGTTCCGCGCATACGTAGGTACTGCCTGCATACATTATATAGGTATTTATTTGAATGCATCTCCACTGCCAGACAATCGCGTCTCGCTTGCTATAGTCAAGTATAGGGAACCTCTAACTTAATAACATAAATATTGATTTCATCAACATTTACTAACTTTCGACTGCGATCTTGCTCACGTCTTACAGTAAAAGCCTCTTATCTACTATCTTCCTGTGAAATTCCTATGAAATTATATTAAAACGGAACCCTTTATATTTTTTTTCTAAAAATTAAGCTGTAAATGCTGTCGTAAATTGAATTAAAATTGTTTGAGATGTTTCTGAGATTAGGTATTTCAATACAAACCGATAGAAATTATTTGGATAGTTTGTATTGTCCAAATAACCATATAGCCTTATACGGAAATAACATTCTATTATTTTTCTGTAAAAAAAACTTACATCCGATTTTTTTGAAGTTAATCAAAAAATACACCTCTTTAGATGAAGGTCATGAACAACCATTTTTTTTTTTCAAAAAACCAATCTCTATGAATCCAGCTTTTAAATAGAAAACCGCATTTAATTCGATCTACTCGTTCTGAATTTACGTTACTAGACATATAGCCAAACGTTCGCCTTTCATCGAGGACTAAAAATACTACAGTCCTAAAAAAACCAAATCATGCTAATTAGGCTTCTCTATTGTTCCTCATTATCATATAAAATGTAATTATTTAATGCTTAATTTGTTTCTATTTAAACTCTCATTATTGCTTTTGCTCATTTTCAACAGACGTGAAAAATCTACCATCACCGTTATCTATAATTTTATCCCACTCGTATTTAAGTCCCATGCCCAGCAGTGGGCCATTAAAATGGTTAAATCATACATAGTGTAAGTGAACAATAAAAGACCACAACACCGTTTAAACACAATATATTATTAAAAAAAGAAAACAATACAATATAGAACAATATTGTAGAATCGTCTTTACAGAACGGACGCGTCGACGTACACACAGACATAGCTCTATACATAACAATAATTTCATATTGGATTCGAACCCGTAACCTTTGACTATAAGTTAGGCCACATGCCGAAGTTATTATAAACTCTCTGAAAACCTATTAAAAAACATTTATATAAAAAATATTAATATGCAACATCAAAACCAAAAAATAATATGTTCCAGAGAATTTTAGACCAACAATTATTATGACACTTTATCAATTTCAAATTAGAGTTTTGAGTAAGAAAGAAATAATAATAAAGTTTCCAATATTAAAAAAAAACTATATTTATAGTTTAAATATAAAAAATAACTATGTCGGTGTGTACATCAATATGCCAGAACACTGCTTTTAGACTGCAATAAAAGGCTCCAAATCATAAACAATATTAACCTAAATTTCAAAATGGCGAATAAAAAACCAATTCATAGATTAAAAGCAATGTTCTAACAATTCGCAACAATCGTTCACAATAACTATGTTAGTGGGGGCACTATCGTTAAGTCTTTAATCGACAATACATAATCTATACAATTTTCAAAGCCACATCATTTAGTATCAAATTATAACAAAAAAATTGCAAAATTACGTCGAATATGAGAAACAAAAATGATAATGTTTAATGTTGCTCCGAAAGCCCCATGAGTGAAGGCAGGCGAGTGCATACAAGCCCCGCAGAGCGACAAAGTGCCCCATCGCTTTTAAATTATATCATATGTATGTTTATCGATATTTCTATATACGTTGAATGTATACACACATCACAATATAACTACATTCGAAGTCTCCATTTAAAATATCACAACGTCCTTTTTCGTTTGTCACACACTTTTAATATATAAAGTTCGAGCACATTATTTAATTCCAAAGGACCCAAGCGCCAGCTATGAGCGGAGGCTACACTACTATAGACTACAAAATTTATATTATTTATATATAAAAAAATTAAATTATCCACTCTGCCCCGCTATCGGGGGCATAATTGCGTGTAAGCGCATATATTATAACCTAAATCTAGCCTTATTTATAAAATTACACGCAATTATGACCTCTATAGTTCAAAACAAAGTATTTTTTATTAATTTTGATGTTGTTTTTGTTATTATATAGAGTAAAACGCCCAAATGTGTGGTATTTTCTCAATTTACCCTGGCACTCGTGTCACACAAGCGCAAGCGGTGAAGCGATAGAAGCCTATCTTACAGTTACCTTCTGAAGGTCGCTAAGGCATTGTATGTGCGTAAGAATTGGTAGAGGGGAATTGATTTTTTATATACACTGACATAAGATCTACGTTAAATTCTTTATTATTTATATTTTACATGAAAACAGCCCCCACAGGTTCCATTCTGCCCCACTGTGTTTTATGAAACGATTAATAAAGGAGTTTTAGGAGAAAATTTTAGCCACCACGGTCACTATAATATTACTATTATTATTTTGTTTTAAAATAAATATTATACAAAAAGTATACAGCTAGTGAATTCGCAGTTTTAGTTCTATTATTTTTGTTCATTGATATTTATTTTTCATGAGAAATGGTTATTATTTTTTATTTTTTAGTTATATTAATTGTGTACAAAGAGACGTAGAATTTTGAGTAAAAAATTGTAATTTACAAAACAACCATGTCCAAAGTCATTAATAAAAATAATCTTTCATCCAATATCATGAGATTCTGATATTCTAGATCTGTTAAATAAAAAATATTTACTACAGTAACATACAAAGGTTATTTTGTAAAGTATTATGGAAATAAAAAAATTAACCAAGTATAAAAATTTATAAAAAAATCCAAACATTTTCAAATTAACATTTTCAAATTAATAATTACAATCAGTTGTGTAAGTATAAGTGATGAAGCTTAAAGGAAAGTAAGAACTAAATTATTTTCGAAATCACCGCTGCATCTTTTTCATATAATAATTGAAAACACAAAAACATCAAATGAAGTAAAAGACCAAAAAATTGACAACAGGTAAACAATGAAAAGACCGAGATTAATTTAGTGCAAATGAAAAAATTACATTAAAAAAGTATCCGAAACAAAACTTTCCACAGATAAAAAAAACAAAACCAACACAGAACTGTCAAAAAAAAGATGAGAATTAAGTACGAGTATCCGAATCCAAACTAATGAACACGGTACAATAATATTATTTCACCGACCAATCACCCTCGTGTTTTTTCCATTCTGATGTCACGTGATATTGAAGTAATCTGTATTCCACTGGTACTTTTGGAAACCGTTAACAAAAATCAAATTGGGTAGTTGGCACCGTTAATCAATAATTCCAAGACATACTTTGGAACCTCCAAAAAAAAACAAAAACACCTCATTTTAGCCCTGAAACTCCGATTAATTTGTAATTAACTGCAAAAAAAATTACTCCGTAAACAAGAAATTTGGCAAAAAAGAAAGGAAAAAAGAATGATTTGACAAATAAGACGTCACAAGTTGCTATTGATATACAAAATGCATGGCGGAATTGCATTTTGACGATTATAAGATGTATATCAATCGGTGGTGTTAACTGGCCAAAAGAATGGAGTAAGTCAGACGCTGTGGCGGCCGAGTCTCTTGGGGCTGCGGGTGGGGCGCGGGGCGCGCGGGGAGCGGGGTCAGCGGCGCAGCAGCGCGGGCAGGTCGGCGAAGGCGCAGGCGCCGAGCGAGGCGCGCGCCATGCGCCGCAGCAGCTCACCCGAGTGCGCCACGCACGCCTCCACCGGGGACACTGACTGCATGCCTTGCCATTCTGGAATGTTCCATCATATATACATTAAAAATACTTTTAATGACTACGAGCTGATGGCGAGGACCCCTGTACTAGGTATAGGCCCGTATTACTGGATCTAGAAAGTCAACTATCAGGGTGATAATATTTTTTTTTAATCAAACATGAGAATATCAGTGATGCGAGACCCGGGATTTGAACCTTTCAATTTTTTTTTAATTTTTCAAGCGAACGCGTAACCATTGGACTATCACTGCCTTAAAACTCGATTATGGTAGTCGAGAATAGTAACATAAACAGCAAAACACGCAACTATTTTTAACTTTCACTTTTTTTTGGCATCATGGTACACTATGACAGCGGTTCTCAAATGTTGTGCCGCGGAACCCTAGAGTTCCGTGGGAAGGTAAAAGAATGGTTATATTTTGATACAATAAATATTATTACAAGTATTAATATTTTTCATTTATGATTTAATCCTTCGAGTCAAACGAGAAAGTATTCTAACTACAACACAAATCAGTTTAATAATTACCAAAAATCCGTTAAAAAAATAATGATCAATTAGGATCCCGCGCCCAAAAAGAAATTGGGAACCGCTGCACTATGGTATTGATTAAAACAGAGTATGATCTGACCGAGTATGGCCGCGTTGAAGGCCTCGCAGACGGGCTCGCGCCACACCGCCTCCAGCTGCCAGCCGTTGGGGCTGTCCCACGGGTTGCTGTACGCCAGCAGGCTGAACGCGTCCTGCCAGGCACACAGACACACACACATGCTCATAGCTCTTCAGTGTATACTATATTACATTAATAATTATACTTTCATTTTAAATAGAAGACAAACAAACCTGTTGTGGAATGAGCTTAGTTTGGAAGAAAAAATATATTATTTTCTTGAGATCAATATATTATTGATTAATTCTAATTTTAGTCTTAACTTAATAACATTGAAGTTACTTGTGTATAATTATTAGATATCTAATTACCAGTTTTAAAGAAAACCTAGGATTTCCAGTTTCGTCCCATAGAAAAGGAACGAATAAACAAACAGTCAAAAATACAGAAGCATTTGAATTTTTATGTAAAATGTTATCAAACGACATTTAGTATTAACTTTTCTTATGTAAGATTTATTTTTATTTAGATTTATTTTATTTTAAACTAGCGGCTCACCCTCGCTTCGCTAGGGTTCGTCTTTAGGTACGTTTTACATAGATATAAATAGTTATTAGCCAGCGTTAGCCATATAAGATTTAATTTTTTTTTTCGTTAATTTTTCACTTTTTCGCTTTATTAAAACCTTCCGTGGACCTTAAGGAACATATGTAAAAAAATTTTTGCCGAATTGGTCCAACCATTCTTGAGTTATGCGCTTACCAACATTCTTTTTTATTTATATAGTTAAATTAATGTAATATTTAATTTATTTTTTATAACACAACATCAATAAAGACTATAAATTAAATAACAATATACATTTACATTTGAAATAAAAATTAACATATAATTAATTGATTAATTTAAAATTTATTTATTTCAAATCAAATCAAAATTTCAATTTTGTGGTTGAGATCCCCTTTTAAGCAATTAATTTGCCTGTATTAGGAGACCCCAAAAATGTGTAATATGTAAATGCTGTTCCTATATATTCCATACAAAAAATATTCTATTAAGCCGTTGAAAACGTTTATGTTATGGAACTTAAAATTTTTACATAAAAAAAATAAAAACACCTTCAAAAATAACTTATTACCTAACCCGCGACCTGTTTTATTTTATTTTGAAAATTAAAATCTTTGCAGACTAAGTCTTAATTGTACTTAAAGATTTGTTTTGTCTAATTACCCCCAAAGTATATACACAGTTATAAATGTATATGTATATACGTAAATGCAGAATTTTATAAGACAATCATTTTTTTTTTTTCAAAAGTTTCTAAATAGTTTGTGATTTTGAACTTTAGAAGACAATATTCACCTCCAACATAGACTTGAGATAGTGGTCGGGCTTCAGGTCCTGGCTCATGGCGTACAGCTCGCGCCCGAACGCCAGCATGCGCTCCACCGACGCGCGCGCGCCGCACCCGTCCCCGTCTACACCACACCACATGGTGTTTAGTTATAATGCTTTGTCCGTTATTATGGAAACTTGGTCTAAAATAATGACATACAAACTTCTCTCTATTAATTATTTTACAATAAAATCGATTCGAGAAAGAGGATAGAAGACTTTGGGTAACTTTGAATCGTTTCAAATACAAAAAATTACTGTTTATTTCTATATTAATTAAAACTTTTATAAAAAAAATAAGCGACACTAACAATTATACACAGAATTTACTTTTTAAAGAAAAATAAAACTTGCTATTCAATTTTAGACCAAGTTTCGTCAGTCACATAAACACTACACCGATGTATCATTCAGCACTCTGTTAGTAACGGCTGGCAGAGACAGTTTTGGTTGAAGGTGACTTGAAAACTCACATTCAAGTGTGTGGGGAAATAAATATAACGATAAATACATAACATAATAATGCCGTATCCATACATTTAATATACCCGGTGAATCATTTAACCGACTTCAAAAAAAAGATATAAAAAAAATCGCGGGAAAAATACAAAGTGAAATACAAGTCGTATTTTATACATAGTTTAAATATTTAAATGAATATTTGAAGTCGGTTTGTAAATGTAAATATTTTAAATATTGGCCATAAATTGCTAATACAGGGAGGTATTTGCAAAATGGACGCGGCATTCGTGTGCTATCTACATACAAATCATAGTGATAGTTGCGAAATCGGGTGAAGAGATGATAATATGACGAATATGGAATAATATATAGAATAGACAGAATGTAAAAACTTTAGTTTGTATCATATTTTGGCACACTTAAAATTCGAGTATTTGTTTTAATGTAGAATATATAATAGACGAGGTAATTTCGCCTTAGAATATAACAAGAAAATATGAATTAGGTCAAATAATACAGATTATACATAAAATAAAGCCAAAAAAAAATTAAAAATATAATGCCGTATTTTACAAGCGAACACCCATACTTTGTGCGAGTTCTATATATGTAACAAATGTCAATATCTCAAGCTTGCATAAATATATAAGGAAGCAATAAAATATAATAATAAAAAAATATATGTTGTTTCTCATATAGTATAAATTCGTGTAATAACTAAAAATGCTAGTTTTTACCCGCGGCTCTTCTCACATGGAAGGTATGTCGATAAATACTATGGTTAAGTAAGGTTAGGGCTCGGAAGCCCGTTAAATTTTTAAACCGGTTATAGTCATTAACACCAAATGGAATGGCCTTGCGGTTTAAGATTTCATTTATATTCTTTAACTGGTTAAAACCTGAGAAACGGTTTTGACGAATTTAGGTTCCATGATTAACCGGTTAAAATGAGTTTTTTTGCATTTATATTTGGCTTTGCTGTTGGTGATTTGCTGAATAGAAGGATACATGTACATTACTGGAATTAAAAGGTTTATTTCGGTACCAAAAATTAAGTTTGACCCTGAAGAAGGCTATGTGTTGAATCAAAATATAATGTATGTCCGGGCCAAATTTCACATATTTTTATTGAGCCAGTACAGTTTGAAGAACTAACTAATACTGTTGCTCACCGTGCACATACCGCGATTGTAATATTATTTTTGGGTAGACTTACTGTTTGTAAAAAATATATATTTTATTTTGTTCGATATAACAACTTTTATTTCTCAAATGTTAGAACAAACCCGCAATGTTAGAGGCCACCAACCACCACGCATTGTTCAAAAACATGCATATTATCATCAGCATCTTAACGATAGCTAAGATTGAAGAAGATAAAATTTGATATTTTTTAAAGATTATTCAAATAATTAAATTTTATATCTATGTAAAGTGCGGGAAATAGCAACATATAATTTACTTAAGTGGAAGACAAAACCATATATATATATATATATATATATATATATATATATATATATATATATATATATAGCTATAATAGAAGATCCTTTAAAAATATAATACGCTGAGAATACGATGAGAACACGCTTCATACATTATATATAAAATGGAAACCTAATGACAAAACACAAATGCACAAATGTACAATTAGATATAAGTTCAATATAATATATATAATATGCACAAAGCTATATATTACATATAACAGTACATTACAAAATAATTAACATTGTTGTTGCTGTGCACAAACCAAGAAAACGATACAATCCAATAGAAAAATGTGTACACAAAGAAAATATATAGGGAAACACATAATTATATTTAATACTAAATATTAAAATAAGTGTAATTGTGCACTGCGTGTGTGTATTAAATCCTTTTAAAACATGAGCACGTATAACGACCGTGTACAGTTACACAAAAAAGGAATAATTTAATAGTATATTCTTATTTGAATATTGGTTTGCTCTCAGTTCTATATTATGTCCTGAGAATTCTCGCGTATTTTAATGTTTTAATATATATATATATATATATATATATATATATATATATATATATATATATATATCAAAACAATCATGACATAAAAAAAATCAACAGTCAGTTTTCTAAACTTGTTCAATCGCACCCAGAGCAAACCGACATAATTTAACTAAAACAAACCTACAAAAAATGTGACAAAAAATAATAGGAGAAATGATGATAAAATGCAAAAACAAAACATTCCAATCTATATCTATTATCTACATAGTTTGATTTTTAATCTCAGAGACAAAACTGACATTACGTGGGTTGCCAGTTCTTCGCAATTCTTAAATAGTGATGTGCCACTATCGAAAATTAACGTTAATAAAATTAAGTATCATTTTTTTTTAAAGTTCTTTTTTTTTATAATAAGTTATCCTGAATAATGTTTAGGTACATATTTAAAACGTAATTAGGTACATATTTAAAACGTAATGATACAAAATTAATAATGCAAATTAAAATTTAATAATGAGATTTAGAATTGATAATGTGAATTTTAATGATACATTTTGGAATATAAAACTTTGAAGCGAATCGTCTAATAAAGATAAAAAGTTACGATTCAACAACCCGATATCGTAGGTACCACACTGCACAAGAGCTGGCAGCATTATTTGTAAATTTTACATGTGTCAATTTAGTCTCTGACATTAAAAAACAGACTTTATCTATATGTACAATATATTAAGTATATATATGTATAGCATAGCGATACGCACCGGGTCGGCAAGGCAAGAGCGCGGCGACGCACGCCGTGACGCCGGGCATGCCCTTCACCAGCGGCAGCTCGTCACCTACAACCCACGCACTGCTACCGAGCGAGCTCGAAAGCAAAACCAACCCCCGAACCCATAAAACCCCATGACATTACCAAAACCCTATCGTTTCTCAACCTGAGTTATGCTATTAAGCACTAGGGCATATTATATTTTTTTAGTCATTCAGATAAAAAGCTTATTACATAGTATGAAGACTAGGTAATTCTCGTTCAGTTTTAGAATTTCAGACAAACAAAAAATATTAATAATTATTTTATATTCTATATTATTTAGGAAGTTGCGAATCTAGATTGAGAAACGAAGGTGTAACCTAATAATAAAACCCATTAAAAAAACGAGAACAGATATTGCAATACCATGTAAGTAATATTTGGTTGGGTTCATTGAAACAAAAATGTCACCGTTTCCCAAACTTTGTTTAACTCTTATCCAAGACATTACAAAACTCAACTAATAGCATTTTTTCCATCATAATATACAAAAAAATACAATAATTTTTAATGTATCGCAATAACTGTTCTTACAAAATTGTGTAACTGTTCATTAGATATCTGACCAGTTCCACGAGACCTCGCGAAATAATCAAAAGAAGCGTTCGTACCACTAGGTGCCGATGAATGCCTACGTGAGGTGAGAGTCAGGCGGTAAGAAGCTAGCATGCATAAACCCATCCGACGTCACCGTAACACCTAAATTCATCTATATATCATAATATACTAATTTGAATTTTTACTGTATTGTCGCATACAAAATAGTACATACAAAATAGTTCTCTCTAAAACAAGCAAATAAATAAAGGACCCTTGTTAAAAATAAGGTAAATATTATTATAAAAACAACGTTATTTTAAAATGAGTTGTATTTATAAATATAAATATATTCGTAGATTACATTGAATATATTTTGTATGAGTATCTTTGATTAATAAGACCAAAGGTTGGGAGCCACCTCCTACAAACAGACCAAGCAAAAGCAGCTTAATTCATTTAAATGTTTTATTTTAATGAACAATTTGTTATAATATTTGAATGTAGGTGTTTACAGCGTAAGCTTGGCAACTATGCCTTTACTTATAAAAGAAATAAATCGAATAAACGATCGCTTGCAATATCCAGAGCAATTAAGGCCAAAAAAAGGCCAACATTTTAGTACAATATCATAAATAATAATAATAATAATTTAAAAGCCCCTAAGTATTTGGATAAATCACATGACACGTTAAATATTATTATTCAAATATAACGATATGAATAAATAAACATGTTAAGTGCAAAAACTAAAAAGCAATGAGCAAATCATATAAAAAAAATGGGATATAAATAATATATTATAATATGGACGACATGATTAGCAAATAATACAAAAATCCAAATCATAATCACCGTATGTATATAGACTATAACGTTATATGTAGTACATATATAAAAATAATGTGTACATATAACATAAATGATTTTTGAAGTTTTTTTAAGGGGAATAACATAGAATAAATTGTAAGTTAAAGCTTAACAGTTGTATAAAAATATTTTTGTTTTTATACACGTATTTGTATAAAAATATACATTAATATATACATCACACAGATCTAAGGAGAAAATAAATTTATTAAGACAAAATATATAGGGGATAGGGGAAAAAGATCGAGTATTATAAGACTAAATAAAAAAATATAAATATGAATACACATTACACATACATATTTATACTATTTAAAATAATTTTATCACTTTTTATACACATGTTTTGTGTTTAGCTCTTTTTTTAACGTCCCATTGCTGGGGGTGGGCCTCCCTTCAGTACGAGGGGAATCAGGCCATATTCCACCACGCTGACCAAGTGCGGGCGGACTGAGCATGTCTTTTGAAAACTTGCTAGATTCTCTCAAACATGCAGGTTACCTCACGATGTTTTCCTTCACCGTAAAACAAGTGGTAATCATGTTGGAAATGATTCGCACATGAAAATATCAAAGGTACGGGACCCGGTATGTGAACCCGCTTCACTCTAGTTTCCCGTGTGTTACCACAAACTATTTAATAAATCAAAAAAAATTTAAAAGAAAGTAGAAGGTCAAGGAAAAGGAATAAGAGAGAGACGGATATAGAAAGAAAGAGAGGGAGACACAACGTATATGATATAAGGATACAATGAACATATTAGAGTGGACGTACCTTCGTGGGAGCCGTTGGCGGCGGGCGGCATGTCCACGTCGCAGTGCCGCAGCTCCTCCTCCACCACCTCGGTCACACCTGGGTTTCATATTATATTTTACGTTACGTTTTAACGTTTAGTATAGATAAACAAACAAATAAACATGTTAGGGCATTAACACACAGCACCACCTAGTTCCATGGTAAGCTAATGAGGCTTGTGTTATGGATACCAGATAGTTTATACACGACACATATAACTTTAAATGCATACATATTATAAATATATGTACATATATGTTAATTCCCACTTTGTACCCATGACTGGAGTACAAACATTCGTGTTCATCACACAAATGAATGCCCCCAGCGGGACTCGAACCCGCGACCGCTGGCACAGCAAATGGGATCACTACAAGCTGAGCCAAAGGCGTTGTCAAATATAACTAATATAATATATAATAAGATAGAATATTAACTATATCATTCCAGGTAACTGTTAAGCTAACCTAGAGAAGCAAGGTAAAAAACGCTAGTTTTACTTTTAATTCACTAGTTTTAATCTATGAGTAAGTGTGTGTGTGTGTTACTTTTCTACGCAATGATGGTCCAATAGATTTGAGCGATAAGAGAGATAAATGAAGATAGCCTATATTTTAAATTAATAAGCTGTGTTCGTACAAAATTATATACTTTAGGATTAAAAGAAATTACGTTGCAGACAGCTTTACAAAATGAAGAAGGAAAACACAGGTAATCGTAAAAATATAAGAAAACATGCTTTTATATTATTACAACATGTAATTATATAAAAATTAGTCATTTTGATTGGTATGTCATAATAAGCTGTGTGTATATGCGTGGCCATGTGTGTGCGCATACATGTGTACGAGCGTGTGTGCAAGCGTATGTACGTGCGCGTGTATGTATGTACTAGCGGCGCACATTCGTTTCGCTCGAATTCGCCTCTAAAAAACAAAAACAACCCTATCTCACGGGATCCGTACATTTTCCGGGATAAAATGCAGCCTATGTGCTATTCCAGACTATAATCTATCTTTGTGCCGAATTTTATCCAGATCCGTTCAGCCGTTCTGACGTGAAAGAGTAACAAACATCCATAAATACTCACAAACTTTCACATTTATAATATTAGAAAAGAAGTATAGATGTATATGTGTGTATTTATTTCATTTAAAACAGTACATGCATAACAAAAACAAGGGCTGACAACATTAGTATAAATCTGTGTCGCAGTTATGAGCGCCCCTGTATATGTGTGTGTGTGCGTGCGTACCGTTGGTGTGGGCGTGCCGGTCGCCGTTGGCGGGCAGCGGCGGCGCGCGGCCCGTGTGCAGGATGACGGACGTGGCCACGCCGTTGCCGCCCGCCGCGCCCTCCTCCGCCTCCACCTCCCCCTCCGCTCCCTCCGCGCACTGCGACTGCAACGTTCATCATAACTATTGGAATATAATCATAAACCAGAACGCATCCTTATTATATTTATTATCTATGGTGCCACTCGAGCGCACGATCGGCTTTGTCTGTGTTTCTTCACTGTCTCTCGTTGTCGTTGTAACCGGTCAGGTCAGGTGTACAATTTACTTGTAATATTTAAAACTTTTATTGAATCACTAATTATACAATAATATTGCTTTATTTCTTCAATAACAATAATGACAAACTATATGAACGACCATTCTCTTTTCTTTTACTACTTTTAGGTTATCAAAGGCATTTAAAAGTTAAAAATCAAAATAACAGTTAAAATTAAATTACACTAGGAGAGCATGAATCTCCCGGGGGAGAAGCCAACTCCTACCGGGCGCGTCCCCAGGTGGCGGATAGGGGCATGCCACCCGCTTAGAGGGGCGGGTGGTACCGGAGAAATCCGGCGCGGACCAAATGGCTTGGATGGGGCCGCTCGTCTAGGCCTCGAGCCGAAGACGTTGCGGCCACCGGTGGTGGGACCGCTTGGTCCCACAACCGGATGATGGGTGCCGGTTGCGGGACTGTGGTCGCAGGCCCGCATTCGGCGGAGGGGTAGGCCGCGGCGGGAGAGGAGTGCCGGTATTTCGGTGCGCCGTTCTCCCTACCTTCCGCGGCCTAGACGGGGCCGCCACCGTTTGATGGCGGACGCGGTGGAGCTGCAGGGGAAGAGGAGTGTCGGTGTTTCGTTGCCGCTCTTCCTGTCCTCTGCAGCCGATTGGAGGTGGCCCTCTTCGGTGGGCGGTGTTTTGGTTTTATGGGGCTGCTCCGGGTACCTCTCTGACGTAGCAGAGTTGACTGTGGAGCAGCCCCATTGGTTTGGTGGTCTGCCTAGTATTTAGGCAGACCTGCCGCCGGGGCGCCGTAGTAGTTATGCGCAAGCGATCCTGCGGCGTCCCACTAAGGCGGGGGGAAGGGACGTCGGGTTTTAGTGGGTAGTACCGGCTCTTCTAGTCGGTGAGCCCCACATCACCACCTGGGGGTTCAGGTGGTATGCGTAAATTCATTTCCCGACGATAAAAAAAAAAAAAAAAAAAAAAAAAAAGGAGAGCATGAACCTCTAGATGTACCCATTATATATGTAGGGCCCCGTCGAAGAATGCATACGATCTCCTTACCTCTTATGTTCGCCTAGTACTTGTGCTGAAGTCACAAGGGGTGCTCTTAGTAAATAATACGTGATGATCGAAAACAGTCCAATTTAACAAATGCTTAAGTACTTGGAATGAGAACTAGACGGTAACCCGTATATATATATATATATATATATATATATATATATATATATATTCCGAGTTTTTAAAGTACTTATTCAAATAATTTCAAGTGTACGGAGTATAACGTGCATTTAGGAACCTCATTCCACTATCTCCTCATCATAACAAGTAACACAAGGCCAGTAGGAGGGAGAGACCAGCACGAGCCCACCTCCGAGTCGGAGCCGTTGACCATCTCCACGAACTGGCGGCACTTGAGCAGCAGCAGCAGCTCGGCGTCGCGCTCCAGCAGGCCCGGGTACAGGCGCCGCGCCGCCTCCACCGCCTCGCCCACGCGGCCCGACAGGATCAGCTTCGATATCCCTGCACATACACACATACATTAAATAATCACTACATAGTATACAACAAAGTCGCTTCCCGCTGTCTGTCTGTCCCTATGTATGCTTACATCTTAAAAAATACGCAATGGATTTTGATGAGGATTTTTTCATAGATAGTGATTCAAGAGGAAGGTTATAAGTACAGAATAACCAAGAAATTTCCTAAATTTGTATTTCATACTAACCGTCAAAACGTACCTAGGGACGAACCCAAGCGTAGCGAGAGTGAATCGCTAGTAATAATAATCTTTATTGCCAAAAAAAGTACAGCTTACAATATATTTTATATGTAAAGGTACACACACTAGGCAGAGCCTGTATCGTGAGTACCACGAGTTGATTAAGAAAAGAAATATTGTCGCTCGGTAAATATTGCTAGCAAAAGTTACATATGACAAAGAAAGAATTATAAAAGTATTGCTTGTATAATTAGAAATCAAGGACCCATTTGATTACCCTATAAGGGGTTTCAAACCTGGTTTATTGAAAATTGTTTGAACAAAAACCCTTTCAATAAGGTTACTCAACTCTAAACCCAACTTTTACGGTCCCTGTAAGGAATTATGAAAATTGGTTCCAAATTGTAATTTGTAAATATTGAGTTGTTTAAAGTCGATCAAATAACATAGCATACCCAATAACTTGCACTAAATTTCTTCAGAATAGTTACTTAGTTATTAGTTATTTAGTTACCGTATATCCTAACCACCTGACCACTGAGGCAATATGAGAGGAACACCATTGATGTACGAGGGATACATACTTTGTCTATTTTTAATAGAGGCTATGTCTTCATCGATGGGCTGCCCGGTGGCGCGGGAGAAGGCCTGCGCGGTGCTGCAGTAGCCGTGGTGCACCAGGTAGGTGGATACCATCCTGGAAATTACAGCAAAATATACTTTATTTCAATTCAATTCATTTCTCTCAATAGTAACTTTAAAACGTGCCAGTCGAGCACAGATTACTTCCCCAATGTCACGTAGAATGAAGAAGATACTTTACAAGCACTTTTGAAGCATCAATTTTTATATATAAATTATGTGATTATTATTTCCATGAGGAAAACACAGTACCACAATTTTTTTTTTTTTTCTCCTAGAAATATTAAGAAATACAAATATATTTATGCAAATATTGTAGATGAATAAATTTTAGTGTACTTTTGACGGAACCCTAAATGCACTCGCGCTATTCTGATTTTTTATTCAATAGGTCTTCATCCAATAGGCTGTACTCATTAAAATTGCTATATTTGAAGTAATCCTACAAACGTGTTACTTCTAAAACATCAAGTATGTGTCAAAACAAGAACATATTTTTTGTCAACTTGGGGAAATCTTGTATGGAGATCGAATTAATTCCTACATAGAAATCCTTTTTTATCTTCTAAAACTACATCAACCAAACAACATCTACCTCTTTTAATTAAAAGCACCAGGATCTCTTCTAGACCGAACCATCTTTGCGCGTTACCAAATTAAGCATCAGCGAGATGCTAAATTAAGATATTTTTTTCCTAAAGACTCAAGGTTCAAAACTCCAAGAAACTACATACCTGTGTAAAACCTGTTGCCACTGACCCTGTTCATCGGGCAAGGGGAACTCGTCTATAGCCAGGCGTGTCCTGGCGCGGAGCTCGCGCAGCATATCCTCTATGTCAAACACAAAAGGTTGCTGTCCAAAATTCGCATCTACCACTTCACCTGGTGTTTGGAGACCCACTGTGGGGTATAAATTCGGCTGGGGAAAATGTAAATTATAAAATAATTACTACAAATTACAGAAGCCGAGACACACATATGAGGCTGCCATTTATTTTTTTGTATCAAGTAATATTTTCGAGTACCTACCTATGTAATAAAAATCATTTACTTCTTTTAATAAAACATTTCTTTCAATTAAAATGGCCTGTACGTGACCTAAATTACAGGAAACGCAAAAATCTAAAATATTCTTTTATTGAGCCATATTTGACATAAAATGAAAAAAAACATTCACTCCCTACAAAAACAAAGGATACTTGGTATATATTATGAATAATAGGCTTTTCTTACTCAGTTTTGGACCGCACTTAAACATAGTGCTCAAACCGCCCAAATTGCATGGCATACGGTCACCCAGAGCATTTTTAATCATACGTTCTTTAATACCTCCAAATTATATTACCAGCGACACAATTATTACTTAAGATCTCCAAGTTTTAAAAAACAACCAACACAAAGCTAATATAGCCAAAAATTATAAGAAACACCATTCCTCACCGGTAGTCCTCTGAAAGCTATTCCTAGATGGTGTCCATTTTTAGTGTAGAAGCATGTGTTGTCGACAAGGTTGACGCCGCAGCCGATGACGTCGCCGGTGGTGAAGGTTGGGCCGTAAGGCTGGCCGGTGCCGGACGAGCAGAACGAGTGGCCGTCGTCGCCGTGGTATCCGTACGAATGTTTGTCCCATCCTAGTTGATGGAGAACATTTTTAAATGTATGGTGGAATTGTTTAACGGAGTATTTTTGGAGGATAGAAGTTGAAGGTTGCTTAGTTGGTGGTTGTTAGTGGCTAGCACGTACGGCTGTAGATACGGGAGTCCTGAGTTCGATTCTCGGTTCGGGATACTGCACAGGTGGTGAACCTACATGAGATTGACCGCCAAGACCAAAATTTATTAGGAGGGCATTCTATCATTACCTGTACAGGTAACCCATCATGATAAAATATTTTTTGAACAATATCCACATTACAATGTATGGAACAACAAGCATTAAAAAAGAAATCAAACAAAGTCATCTGTGTACTTTTAGGATGTTTAAAGATAGGTAAAATCATCCAAAATTGTTTGTTTATAGATCTTTCAATATTATTTTTACATAAACCATCAGTTAACATGGACAATTTTTATATAAGTATACGATCGCTGATGTCAATTTATATTAGTCACCTAAATTTGTAAGTACCTACTCTGAAAAATTAATTCTAGCACTCACCTGGCAACCTGTTCATATTAACACCATGAGCGGATAACCCAATGCCCATGTACCCATCCCGCCCCTTTGACACTATCCGCACTTCAAAGTAGTAGAGACCGCACGCCGCCGGGATAGGATGCGTGGCACGAACGCTTGCAGCGTCCTTGTGTGTTTTGCCATGACCTGGAAAACCATTGTTATACCATATTAAATTACTGGTTCACCTTTAAAATATATGGTAAATGCTAGAAGAACAGATTATATGTACACCTTACACCTACTGAAAAACCGATGTTAAAAAGTTAAGACAAACAAACCCTTTTGTTTTGCGTTAACAGCAAATAAATATACATGATATGCCCAAAAACCATTTTTCTGTAAAAATGATAGTTCAATTTTGACAACTTTGTCTAAGACACAGGCTCGTCCTAATTCAGACGCTATAGTACTTAAACAAAGATTGTGCTGATTATATAGGTAGTTTTAAAAATTTCTTGTAACCCTTTTGAATTTAAATCAATAAAGATATTATATTATTATTATTTGTAATCATAATATTTTCTTACGTTTACTCGAATATTTAACATTCATACTAATATTTCTATACTAATCCACACTAATATTATAAATGTGAAAGTATGTGAGCCTGTACGGATGTATGCTTGTCACTCTCTTACACCAAATCTACTGAACAAATTTTGATGAATCTTTACGATCATATAGGTAATATGTACATCAGAGTAATATATCCGTACAATAATTTATCCGTATCCGTGACAACTAATTTGCGTAGGGAGTTTTTAAAATTCTTAATTTTTAATTATTACTGTAGTTTACCGCGAGCGAAACCGCAGTTTGCTATTTTTAAATAAAACTATTTTTGTGGATTTTTGCGCTTTTATTTTATGTTTTGTCGCAATTTCGAATGCTATAAAGCAATCATGGTTACGAAAGAGACTAAGAGTAAACAAAAAGTAAAACTTAGTGGTAGCAAGCCTATATGGCACTATCGACTACGTACATTCAAACTCCTTATTCTATTTAAGTAGCTTATTTTCGCAGTGTTAATATATTATCGCCCATAATTTTCTTAGATAATACCTTTTTCTATTTTTAAAAACCGTATGAAAATCTGTACCTGTAGAACAACGTCCGGAGGGTTTTATAATATGTAAGTAATACACGTTAATGGTCTATAAAATATAATATCTCTTTAATCATTAATTCTTTGGACCATTAATCAAAAGTTAAAAAAAAGACAAGATGTAGCCGACTCTCTCTTAGGATTAATAGTTCAATCGAGCACATCCCTAGTGGCTCACTTCAGTGTTCAGGCTACTTATGTAATAAACTGTATTCGAAAGTAAAGGTCGATCGGACGAATTTGACGCAGCAATTTTGTCGATGCCAATTGAAACTCATTTAGAAACAAATATTGTATTTGTTGTAATGACTTATTGAATGAATTATAAATTATTAACTAGCTGACCTGATAAACATTTTCCAGTTTAAATTTCAATAAATTATCATTAAAGAAACCACACAAAAAACTTCTAGTTTTCTATGAATTTGTCAAGTTTTTTGGTATTTTTTTTTGTATTTATTTTCTTGAAAGCGTTTTTGATGTATTAGAAACATTTCAATCATTTATGATTTGGCTTTTAGGCGTGCCAGTTAAATACATGTTGGGACATTAACACAGCACCATCTAGTTCCATGGTAAGCTACGAGGCTTGTGTTATGAATACCAGATAGTTGATACACTACACATAGGTATATAACTTTAAATACATACATATTATAAATATGACTGAAGTACAAACATTCGTGCTCATCACAGAAATGAATGCACCCAGCGGGACTCGAACCCGCGACCGCTGGCACGGCAAGTAGGGTCACTACAACCTGAACCAAACGTGTCGTCGTTGGACACAAATTACTTCCCCAATGTCATGTAGAATGGAGAAGACACTGATTAGGAACATTGAAAAAAAATAGCCAAATCAGTCTGACTGTTGTCTTCTCATGTGCTTACCAAAAAACAACATTTCACTTTATTTCAGTTGTCAGTCTGTCTATTTACATGGTTTTCACGACCAAATGACTGAAAACTTGAGTAGAGGGATAACAAGAGCCCTTAGGTTACTTAAAAATAAGTACAAATTAATTGTATTAGGTGAGGTAAGATTTTCTATGTAAAAATTATATTTAAATTGTAATGAATAAAATATAATAGAACGAAGAGTTTTGAATTAAAAAAGCACCGAAGCGAAACCGGGATGAGTCACTTATATTATAATTTCCTATTAACGTACATAGATTCCGGTTACAAAACGCTGACTAACACAGTAATAAGATGAAACACAAAGTGGGTTAAGGTAGACTTTACATGAAAATTAATTATAATATATCCAATGAAAAGACCGACACGAGTATATTGATATTGTACACCTATACGTTATAGCAATATATGCATTGTGGTATAGTGTAGGCTATATTAATTACTAGCGGCTCACCCTCGCTTCGCTCGGGTTCGTCTCTAGTTACGTTTTAAATAGATATAAATAGTTTTTAGCCAGCGTTAGCCATATACATTTTAATTTTTTTTGTTAATAATATTGACAAATATTGATATTAATATTTATACGATACTAACGTCACTCAATTGTTTTGCCTTCCCGGAACCTCTCCACTTACACTCAAACTTTATGGTATGGTATTAAAGTTCAAATTGACTTTTAAGTATTATTACGAATCTTTTGTATGGGAGTATAGAAAAGTGTTGTTTTTAGACTTGTTCAGGGATTTTTTTTTAATTATTCTCTTCGTAAGAACCATCCTCGTACTTCAAGGAATATTCTAAAAAATGAATTAGCGAAATCGGTTCAGCTGCTCTCGAGATTTGCGCTTACCAACACATTCAGCGATTCATTTTTATATTATAGAAGACTAGCGACTCACCCACGCTTCGCTCGGGTTCATCCCTAAGTACGTTTTAACTGTTAGTATGGAATAGATAATTATATATTATATAATTTATTATACACATATTAGGTACGATGAGTTGTTATGTCACTCTCCGGCCCTCCATCTCTTACACGAAAAGACGTGAAACAAGGACAAACAAACATACAATATCACATTTATATTATTAGTATCGATTATTATAGATTTAACTGTAATTCATAAATACTAAAGTGACAGTAACTTTTTGATCGTATGCTACTTTATCATGCTCAAAACGCTGAACAGATATCGATGAAATTTGAACAAGGGTATAGATTGTATTGTGGAGACTTTCATAGGCTACGTTTTATCCCCGGCGCACCTACCATACGAGCGGAGCCGCGGGAATAAAGTAGTCTATACATATAATAAAATTTTTAGTCGAATCTGAAGGTACATTAAATTTTTTTTTTTAAATCTTATTGAAATAGTCATTACTATCGATACAGAGGCCGAATCTATAGTTTTTAGAATTTTTGTCTGTCTATCTGGCAACGCATCACGATTCATGAAAAAACCACTGCACAGATTTTGATAAAATTTGGTATAATGATAGCTAGTTATTCGGGTCAACATATAGGATACTTTTTACTGCGGGAAAATATCTCATCTCCGAGAAATCTATACTAAACGTTAAAACGTAAGTAGGGACGAACCCGAGCGGAGCGGGGGTAGGTCGCTAGAAGAGAATAAAATGACAAATCCACTGGGTTTTTAAGTGGATCACGTTTCGACCTGTTCAACAATAGGCACACAATGGTTTATTTATAAACATTACTTGTAAGTGTTAAAAAAAACTACTTAGTATGCACTTAATGGTGTACCTACCTAACGTCAATAAATAATTTTGACACGGAAATCTAATTAGAATTGCTTATTATGCAGGATTTTTAGGTTCGATTTTCACATGATCTGTAAATAAATGACACTTCGTAAATTGTTTCTTTAGAGTACCTACTTATTATATGACAATAAAGTCAAAATTAAAAATATAACAAGTTTTATTTCACATAATACTTTCTTAGATTTACGCGAATATTTGCCATTAAATAAAAATATATATCTTTTCGGTTTTTTTTCGCGGATTTATTTTGATTTTTGATTCCCCACGTTTCGAATGTTTTACAGCAATCATGGTCACGGGAGAGACTAAGGTTTTTAAAGTTTAGTTTTATTTCATTAATAGCAACATCCTAGCTATGCTCGGGTTCGTCCCTACTTTTTAACGATTAACGCAGTAAAAATATCCTAAATGTTGACACGAATAACCAGCTATCTTAAATTTTTCTTAATTTAACAGTATTTAACCTTTGCCTAATTAAATAGACCAAATGAAATAAACATAGAAATCTTCTAACAAACATCTTAATTACAATTCGTAAATTGAATAAAAAAACACGTTTTGGTTCACAAACTAAACACGCAGTAACATCAAATATTTTTAATTATATATATTAAAGGATGTGTTCAACAATCAAATTTAACAATCACTTGTTGTTCATCTACTCGTTTTTAAAATTTACTACAGACAGGTTATGGTGTAAAAACACCAAAAACTGTCTTATCTGGCAGAAGCCTGTTACGTTTTTCTTCGTATAATATGTTTCCTGCCTCTGAGAAAAGTCAAAATTGAACAAAATTTCGGCCGATGTTTTTATTCTCATCGAATGTTCCACCGAAGTTCATATTCGATTCAAGCCACACTCGGCCCATCTCTGAATAATATATATTTACAGTGTGATAGACATAGACAATAATCTACTAATCTATTCCCGATCCCAAAAAAGGGCGACCGCTCGGATCCGTCCAATTACAGGCCTATAGCCATTACCTCCTTGTTCTCCAAGATAATGGAGTCCATTATTAACTGCCAGCTCCTGCGGTACCTAGAAGAGCACCGGCTGATCAGTGACCGCCAGTACGGCTTCCGTCGAGGTCGCTCAGCCGGTGATCTTCTAGTTTACCTAACACATAGATGGGCAGAAGCAGTTGAGACCAAGGGGGAGGCGCTTGCAGCCAGTCTGGATATAGCGAAGGCCTTTGATCGGGTATGGCACAAAGCGCTTCTTTCGAAGCTACCTTCCTTCGGGCTCCCCGAGAAATTATGCAACTGGATCGCCAGCTTTTTGGCAGATCGGAGCATCAAGGTCGTTGTCGACGGTGCTTGCTCTGATCCT